AGAGAGAGAGAGAGAGACCTGATCTTAAGCTTCGTTCTCTAGGATCGTTACGCAATCGCCGACGAGCTTTATTTGTACAACCCGTTAATCGACCAACACGCGCACATTTTACGCTCACCCCTTTTGTACATGACCTCGGAGGATATACCGGAATATATTAGTTGCTTGGGTGCTTGTTAACGGCGGACAGTGCTTTATATCAAGGGAAAAACATCGGCGTAGATTTTGTATCATACTTTAAAATGTATTACATACATTAATGATTCGTGCAATAGAAATGAAATTAATTAATAAAATTAATTTTTAATCAAAATTGTACTTAATAATGATATTGAGTAAGTAGTAGGCTTATGTGAAAGAAATTATATAATAAAAAGTATAGCAATATTTATACCATTACAATTAGAAGATATATATTATGTCATATTATGTAATAATGATTGTATAATAGCTGAAGATTAAAAAATATTATGCTTGGTAGTGAATAAAAATAAATGATATTCAAATTTCTTTGCTATATTTAGCTTTTCGTTATTTTGATATTTTGCCAAAAGTACATCTTGATAAATTACTGGAAAATTTTCGAAAAGTCTTTCTGCCAACTCATCTATACTAATTAATACTATTAGTTGTATTGTAGTATTATACTAATTAAATCTATTAGTTGATTTGCAAAATATAACTTTCCCTTTGTTAATATCAACTCTCGACATCTCGCAACTGTGAGGAAGATGAGTTTCTGTTTTTGAAGTCGTCTCTTCTTCCTTGGCAACTCTTAACGACGACTTTATTTTGTTACTCTGTCTTATGTAACTTTGCGAAGGAGGCACTTGATGTATACTTGAAAATTTACTCGGAGATAGCCTCGCACGTGCATCGTATTATTTTGCAATTGTTCTCGCCAAGAGCGGAATCGAGATCGCCCGAGCGAGTCATCAGAAGACGACGTTACTTGATCCTTTCGTCCGCAGGATCGAACAGCTCGAGGTATTAACGAAGCGAAGAGATCGTGGTGGGTTAATATCGACTACATCGTTCTCCTCTCAGGCGGATCCAGGTGGATTTCTATCATTAATCTTCATCGCGATCCACAAATTCCGCATTGGGAATGGTATGATAGTTTGCCTCCCTCTCCTTAATCAACATACACCTTGATTTTCATTTTCATAAGAAGGAACAATGGATTTTTGTTCGTAATGATTTTCTTCGTCATAAAAAACAAACACTTTCACATTCCTTTGATTGCTTGTAAATATATCGTACGCTTATAGATTCTTATTTTTAACGATATACACGTAAAATTATATTGAAACCTTTTATACAAGTTTTAGCTGCTCTTGATTAAAATTATAATATACACGTACACATTTGCACAGAAAGTGTGTATAAGTTTGATGTTTTCACAAACTGTTTGCATCTTATGTAATAATTAAATTTCCCGTATATTAGTGAAAAATTAACATCAGTCAGTCACGCTCTTCCTGTTTCTGTGAACTTCTCGACGAACATCTTTAATTTCATACTTGATTGAAACGCAGGATTTCTCCGCTCGTTTTTGCTTCGTAAACTTTGTGGTGCATAAACTTCTAAATTAAAGACCGCGTAGGCAAAAGACGATAGAGTATCGATAACAGGTATTGGAAACAACTTCGCCGGCTATCAGTGCGTCGTTTCCCAATTGAAAACTGTCGGCCGGCAGAGTTATCGCATTTAAGACAGCAACGATTTCGCTCCCCACCCCTGTCTGGGGAATCACGATTAATGCACCATTAAGAGAGATTGGAAATCCTTTCGAGACCCCGGAGACTTTCGTCGCCCAATGGCACGGACGACAAAGTTCCCACAGGCGTTCGCGCCGTCCAGGATTTTGCATTCCATTTGCCCCGGCTTCGCTTTCGTTTTCCCGAGGGTACACTTGCTGCTGGTAGACTAGCGGTAGCCACGCTAGAGGTAAATCGTATTTGCATGAGGGTTTCTCCAGCTCTCCTCAGGTAGATTTCGACGACCTCCTACGCTCTATGACACCGTTCGTTGTTTCACTGAGAAAGTTACGACGTCCATTTCGAGAAGGCACTTTAAATCGTCGTGCGCTCTTGTGTATGCGAAAACATTGGATGTCCGAGCTTCTTTTCGTCTAAGAGATAAATCAAATGTTACGTCAAATTTTCAAATTTGTGAATTCTGAGATGTTTTCATTGTTTTAACTATAGATAGGAGTAAAATTTTGAATTTTGAATATATAAAATATGATTTATATATCAATTTTTTTTTGTAGACAGAATTTAATGCCAATAGAATTAATTAATAGAATTAATTGAAAATTTTGATTTGATGCTGATAACGGCAAAACTGAAACTTTTTTTAAAATTATATGCGTAAATTATTGTGATATGATAATTGAATTGTAAAGAATGGTAGATAGTATTCACGATACTGAAGCATTTTGTTTATCGTGAGATAATTATTTTGTATATTGTTATTATATTACTGCAAGAGAAGTTATCAAAGATAGTAGCTGAGTGTTTATGAAAGAATGGCACATGCATACCCCATCAATATTACGGCATTGAACTTGGCCTCGTGTCTGAAACTTTTTTTAATTTATTCGTGCAACCTTTACTTTTGGAGTTTGTTAACCCTTCGCGGTCGTTGCCATTAATAACGTCGCGTTGCGGCTATGCTTGTTTTGCTGGTGATATATCATTCAACGCAGCGCATCAAGCAAAGTGTCCTCAAGCGAACATTTTGCAATGTTAAAAGAGAAAAAAAATCCAATTTGGTATTGGTAACATTTTAATATTTTTAATATTTTTATTTTAATATTTTTAGGTAATAAAATATTTCAGTTTCTATGGATATTGCCTTTTATTAAAGAATATGACTGTTATATGCTCGATAAATCCTCATGTATGGCTATATATTATTTGCTTTTATAATTTAATTTTATAGAAAGCTAATAAAATATAACTCTTTTTATTCGATTATGAGTTAATTTTTCTTATATATTATATGATATTAAATCTTTACAACAAGTCCATATATGTTTCATTATATAATAATGTAATATTTTAATAAAAAAAAAAGATGTGGATTTGTTGCTCTTTTTATCATCTCTATAGCAGAGATTAAATCATTTAATGATTTGTTTCAGTTTTAATGTATTAAAAAACATTTAATATTATTTATATGTTGTATTTTTTAAATTTGTTCTGTTGCACTCTATATTCATGCCCTTTGCTGGCATTTGGAGAGGGGTCGCCTCGCAGTAACATACTGCTACAGCCGCTATTATTCGTGGGAAATTCAGGGCGCGTAATCGCATTCTGACTCCCTCATTTAACGAGCGGAAACATTATTAACGAGCGTATACCCGTACTTTTTTTTTTTTTTTTTTTTTTTACCTCCGCGCACCATCGTCGCCGCTACCACCGTCGCTATGCCGACGATTCTTCGTCGTCTTGTTTTTCCCCTCTTCTTTTTCTGAAAGCCATTGTCTATACGGTCGTCGCGGTTTCTCAGCGACGTGGCGTGGGAAGGTTCGCAGGGCCTTAAAGTTCGCGCCGTTCAAGGTGAGGTATATGCAGAGGGAAGTTGAGTCGCGCCTCTCTAACCCAATTTATATATATTGGAGCGCGTTGTTGTGAAGCTGCATTTATGCCAAAATCGATACGCGTTTCATCTTGCGAATCAGTGCGTTGGTGGAATTCCATTACAGCTGTCATATGATGACAAGTTCGTCGCTACTTTGTTATTCTGTGGGGAACTCCAGGAACGCCTATGGAATAATCCATTTCAGAAGTTTCCTATCCGAAAGCCAATTTGCTTGTCTAGTTGTATGGCAATTAAGGCAAAATTTATGCATAGTCGATAGTGTATATCGTGAAAAAATTTGTAATTATAATGTATTTGTAATTTTCTTTTAATTACATTACCTAACATTATGTCAAACGCAAATTAATTTTTTATCTAAAAACTAAAAACTAATGGCTAATGTGAGACTTATCGTTTCGTAATAAACTTTTTGAAAGAAGAATGTTTTAATAAATATTATTTTTATTTTAAGCATTTAATTAAAAAAAAACTTATGAAAAATGTAAATAAATCTTTTTCCGAATAATTATAAATTTTTCAGATATATGTTGTTATTTTATGAGTGATTTGTGTGAGAGTGCTAGATAGCAAAGTAAAACTTGAAATATAAATTCAGCGAGTAAATACACGAGGGGCATAAATTTACATTTCAAGATGAATAAAATAGCATAGTTTTCATTTAAACTTTAATCGACTCGAGATCGAGTCCTCTTTAATTTCAAGAAACAATTTGTAACTACGTTACCGGGTTATCGGGCTGTTATGTCAAAGAACAAAGACTGTATTATAATCGCAAATATAGTAAATCTAGATTCGAGAACATATGGTATAGCATAGAGCCATATTTGTTGGCGGTCGCACACTATAGATTAAAAAGGACGCGCCAAGCCCTAATTAAGTAATTACCGAACGCGATTAATTCGCGGCCGTAACTAATTAGCATCCATTCACGAGAATGAATAATAGCGCGCTTCAGTGGGGCAATGGGCCTTTCTCGTCTCCTCCGCCTCCATATCTCTAAAATTACATATTAATATGCAACCCGCGCAACAATCAACATTTCGACGCACATTCTAATCGGTCGGCATTGTTTATTCTTTCTGTTACAGCCGGAAGAACGCGATCATTCTCAGGACCCAGCTGTCCGTGAGGGTTCACACTATCATAGGTGAGTACTATCGTTGTGAATTCCTGATTTAAATCTCGCGATGGGCTCCCACGATCCACTTGGATGGATCATCCGTGCCGACCGCGCGTAGTGATTCTTCGACCCTTAACTGGCAGCAACTCGGGTCGAGTCTCGTTCTAGTTACTCGGTCACTTGTTTCGGTTCACCGATGATGGCGACCTTCTACTAACTGTAATGCTGATGCTGTGAAGTATTGAGTTTTATGTATTATAATGATAATCAGAGGAAGGCAGACAAGTAGGAAAATGTTAAATATGCTTCGTATGTAGACGTCTTGAATGATATTATTTTATCATTTTTTTCAGTCTTATCAATTTAAGTTTAACCGAAATACAGAGATACGGATAATTATATGTTAAATGTAAGCGAATAAAATTGAAAGATTTTTTGCAAATTAAAAAATTTCAAAACTGAAATATATATATAATCAGCATTTTATTCATGATTTAACTTTAAATTATAATTTCCTTTTAATGGAAATTAGATAAGACATCTATTTATTAAAACATTAATATTGAAAACTAAAAAATGTAAAGAAATAATGCCAAATATATTCTCGATAAAAAATGCTTTTTAAAAATTTTATGAATAAAACTTTTTAATGCTACACAATTAGTTTATATATATTTTTAAATTTATTATGGACTTCTAAATAATACGAATAATTTTCACAGTTATCTAATAACATATTATTCTTAACATTAATTTCTTAAATATATTTTTTAATATAGAATAATTATATTCGTTAACACAAAATATAATTAGGTTAAATTAATATTAATATTAAGATCATTATTTTAGTTCGCTGATTGAGTAATGATCTAACTATAACAGTGACAATATGACCAATCAATGATTATGAATAAATAGTCACAAACATTTAACCATAGCACCAAGAGAGCTAAATGTATAGGGACATGTATCATTAATATGAATAACTTGTATTGACTGTGATACTGACATTACGTTCAATCAATGACGTCTGATACTCTTGGATGAATTCATATATAACATATATGTTTGGAAATATAGGTGTTTGTATCTACAAATATTACATATAATAATTATTTGCAAAAATATGTATTTCGTTCTACATTTTTTTTACTTGTAGCGTTACAAAAATCATTGGAATTACAACAAATAGCAGCAAATATATATATATATAATTTTACTTATTTCTCTCATTTCAGATGATTTCTATGCACTTAAAAATATTTAAATTAAATTTAATTTTAACGCCTAATCTGTTCAATATCTTTAAAAAATGTTGAAAATTTTTAATGATTAAGAGCTATCATATTTCTTAATCTCTATTAATTTTTAAACTAATTTAAAACTGATATACTTTTGTAAATATTAAAAAAGTTTATATCAAAAGCGCGAAGAGGATAGCTTACAAATTAAATTACTAATACATTTTTACAAGTTACATATTTTTTTATAAAATATTTTTACTGTATAATACATAAAAATAATGTTTATATAATAATGATATAAAAAGGATAAGAATTTAACGTTTATAAGTTTTGTGTCATAGAACATAACAGTTTATTTAAATATTTACATATTTCTGTAGGAATTTTTTAAGAAAGCAAATTGCATGTTTTTATGCTGCATTTGATTATGATAACCTGTTAATATTTTAAGGTAATGATTTAAGCATTTCTTTTAGAAATGCAAGCAATTGTTTACAGAATTGTTTGTAAAGATCTAAATTTTATGAATAAAAGAAATAATGAATCATAAATGTAAAATGAAATTTACAACTTGTCTCTAAATAAAAGAATACTATCTCTTTAAATGTACACCAGGACATAATTATACAATGTCGCAAACAATGAGCTTCGTTGCCAGTTGATTAGCAAAGTAATGACTATGCGGCTGAGTGCGGAACCCTGTACCTGCGAAAATCAAGCTAATCCTTTATCGTAGCTCAGCGGCCATCCATCACCGACTATGACAGACGGTACTTAATCACGCAATGTCGAATAAAAACTCCCTTCGTTCTACATTCTTTTTACTTGTAGCGTTACAAAAATCATTATTGGAATTACAACAAATAGCAGCAAATACATATACTTTTACTTAATTCCCTCATTTCAGATGATTTCTACGCACTTAAAATATTTAAATATTTAATTTTAACGCCTAATCTGTTCTTCAATATCTTTAAAAAATGATGAAAATTTTTTTTAAATTAAAATTTTTGTTCTTTTCTTAGAACTCTATTTCTATTTTTAGATTCATTTATTTGAAAAATATTATAATTGAAATAATTTCTGTGTTTCCTCTGGAAGAAATAATGAAAAATTAATAAATAATAAAAATTTTTGCAGTCTTTTTATATTTTGTAGTGTACTAATGTTAGATATTAAATAAATAACACAAATATTATTAAAATTTTTATAATAATGAATGAATTTCGATGTCCGGACTTTTCTTTGTGAAAGTAAATGCATTTTCTCGAAGATTACTTTAAACGTCTTTCGTGGTGTAGTGAAACGAATTGAAATATTATGAGAAAATTGAATCAAGTAATGTGAAATTTTCATAAAATTATTACATTCGAATTTTACGCACTTTTTTATGCAAATGTATGTCTAAGCGTATCCTTTTGAATAAATAAGCGATGACTTGTTTTTTTGTAAATGAAATAAACAACTTTGTGAGAATTACATTATTTCGATAAGCTTGTTATGTTTGAATTATTGTAATTTTATGTGCAACAATTTACAAAAAAATAATACTTGTGGATCCCATTTATATTTTTAAAACATTTTGACAGTCTATATTTTGTTCTTATTATTTCATTCTTAAAAATACTGCTTTTTCTTTTTTTTTCTTGAAATTTTATGAATTATTGAATATTTTTAGAGATGACGCATAAAAGTTTAATGAACCATCTTTCCAATATTTAAAAAACATTAAAAGTTTTTAAAAATTGAACTTATTTTTAAAATTAATGATCTTAATTTTTAATTAAAAAAGTCTTAAATTGTCTAAAATCTTAAATTGTTTAAAGATATAATTGTTATGTTATTCTCGAGAATTATTTTTGAAAGATATTTAATAAATTTATATGTTATTTATTAATATTAACTTATAACTTTTTATTATAACTTTTTATTATAACTTTTTATTATAACTTTTTAAAAACAAATGAAGACATATTTTACACTTTGTACATTATTATCTTATGAAATTAGCTTCGTTAATGCAATTTTCTAACAACAGATTTTTAATAAATTTATTGTAATTATTAACTTTATTATATTTGCTTATATGAAGGATCAAAAGGCTACTATTGTTTCGCTATACATCCTTAATTAAGTATAATAGCCAGTAATTCCAGAAACTAATAGTTTATTGCAATTACTTTATTGATAAATTATAAAGAAATTTTTCAGATATCTCACAATTTTTGAATTTTGAAAAAAATAATGACAAACAATTTTTAATTATATCTCAAAGAGACTTGAAGAGACTTTTTGAGATTTATTTAAAATAATTCATATCAGACGTGAAAAAATTTGTTATCTATTTATGTTAAGACAGGATTATTTAGATTACTTTAATTATATAATTATTGATCTTCCAGTTTTATGTCAAGATAAAAAGCTAACAGTGTTAATTTATTTTATATATACGAATTTTTATGTTAATTTGCTAATAAATAAAAATGTTGCTGAAATATTTTGTGGACGATGATTATCACGGGGAATGAAATTCGCGAACGATGCGTCGAATACACCTGCAGGGTCTGTGTCCTGGTTCATTGAACTCTGTGAAGGTGGTGGAGAGATAATCGAAGGTACAGAATAAGCAAGAAAAAAAGAAGAAGTTTCAAAAGGGCAGAGGGAGGAGCGGAAGCCAAAGTGGACCGTGCCGTTTTACATATTTTAACGGTTCTTCGTGTACCTCCGGCCTTCATGAAATTTATCTGTACATTGTCGTTTTGATTTTTTTTTTCTTTTCTTTGCGCGACATAACTGTTTTTGAAAACCGAGTAGTGAAAACAGTTTTATTTTGAAATACTGTGTATTTTATTTATACTTGGATTATATGAAGGTTATTTTATATGAATAAAATAATATCTCGAAAATTAAGATTAAAATTAAAAACAAGGAAAGATATTAAGAAATAAAAATTTTATTTACAGAAAAATAAAATAATAAAAAGAAATAATGTTTGTTATGTTTGCAAAAAACAAAATGTTTTAATTTATATAATTGTTTTTTTTTATATTTAATATTTATATTTATATTTTTTATGATATTTAATATAAATAAATATTTTATATAATTTATAACGAAAGACAAGAATTAATTATTAATTCTGAATAAGGTATAATAAAATGTCATAGTTATTAATATAATAATTATTAATAACATATTTACATTACATCGTTAATGTAATTTGAACGATAAAATCTGACAAATGATAAATATATGTGACATTAATTTATGCCGCTTATGTAAATTACATATATGTTACAATAATAAAACGTTACGTGCCGTACAGGATCTTTAATGGCGTTGAGAGTATTACTATTATTGTGTTTCTTCATTCGCTGTTAATCACCTTTTATTCTCATCGCATCAATGCGAGAGAAGTACTCGTCATGTGGCAACGAAATGCCGCGATGAATAATTTCGCGATTCTATTTTGCTCGCGAACAAATCATACAAATATTCCGCAGCTGTGGCCGGTTAACCGCGGACGCATTACATAGCACGCGAGGTGTGCCGACGAGAGCACGTTTTCATGTATCACGCGACACACGGATTCGGATTTCGCTCACGCCGAGCAATCTGGCATTAGTATTCGGTTGTTCATGAAATGGATTAGATATTTTGGTAAAGCGTCATAAAATTTTAGATTCTAGATAGTAAACTCATCTTTAATGTATCATGATCATTCGTCATCAAAAAGTGGGAACATTTAATTCTTCCAATTTTTCTTTTTGAATAATTCAATAAAGGAATAAATTCTTTTATTCTTTTATAATATATATATATATATATATTTGTATCATAAGGATATTATATAAACAAACAAATATTATTAAAATCGAAATAAAAATTAGGAACAGAATTGGAATTTGTTTTTAGCAATTTTATTATGTTCTACGTTATACAATGTTTTATAATAGCTTGTTAGAATTATTGGATTATGAAAATTAAATCACACACACACACACACACACACACACACACACACGCGCACACACACACACACACACACACACACACAT